GCCTTGTAATTGGACCTTTATTTCAGAAGCTCCTGGAACATTCACAGATTTCATGGGCTGTATTTGAATATGTACCCTGCCCCCCCATTCGTGTGTTGGAAACTTAATCCTTTCTGTAACAGCTTTAAGAGGTGAGGCCTTTGGAAGGTAATTAAGATTAGATAAAGTCATCAGGGAGGGACCCCCATGATGGGGCTGGAGAGAAGAGGAGGAGAGACCTGAGCTGGCACACACTTGCCCTCTCGCCGTGTGACGCCCTCTGCCATGTTATGACACAGTAAACTTTGGACTTCCCAGCCTCCAGAACTGTAAGAAATAATTTTCTTTACTTTATAAATGACCCAGTCTCAGGTATTCTGTTATAGCAACAGAAAGCAGACTAAGACACTGTACTATAGCAGCTTTATAAATATTATTAATTGAACCTTGTACAAAATATAAGAGCTTAATAAAGGTAACTTTAGGGGAGAAAAAATATCTTTTTCCTTCTGCCCTTCTGTAGCAAAAGCCAGTTCAACAACAGAAAAACACACACATTTATGTAACAAAAGTTTTATTTATTTATTTATTTTTAAAAGATGACCAGTTAGGGGATCTTAACCCTTGACTTGGTGTTGCCAGCGCCATGCTCTGCCAAGTGAGCCACGGGCCAGCCCTGTAACAAAAGTTTTAAATGATGTTAGAGCCTTCGTAAGGTGACGAAGACCCAAATAAATGGTTAAACCTATTGCTTTTATACTAGGTTTGATGAAGAGTGGAAAGTCTTGGGAAAATATGATAGGACAAAAGGGTATGAGCTAAATGTAGTAAACTGGGGAAACTTAACCAAGGCCTCTTCAGATTCCTCTCAGTGTCCCTCCGCCTTTAGAGACAAGGATGTTCCTTTCTTCTGGATATAGAGAAGGCATCTCTCACATGAGGATCCTGTAACCTGCTTGAGGGAAGATGGTCAGAGAGTCCTTCCAGCAACTGCAGTTTTTCAAATCACTTCAGCTTAAAGTATTGAATATTGCCAAGGTGCCATATTTTGGGGTAGCATGTCCTGAATCCTGTCATAATACAACCATATTTCAGAGAGTCATGCAACAGTCCTTGACAAAGCAATGCATTTAAGGTGGGTGGAGAGTGCATGTGTGCCCCCTCACTGGATGGGGGTGAGTGGATATCCAGGCAGGAAGAAGAGTGGAAAGAGAGGTGTTGGATGTATTAGCATCAGAGGCCCTAAGACCTGGAGAGACCAAGCCTGAGAGGGACTGGATAGAAAAGGCAGGAGCTGGGCTTCACACGTGAACATGCTCTTGCTAAACAAGCAAACACATGCAGAGGAAGTGGTTTGGACTAGGAATGTGGTGGGAGGACAAACCAAGGCCTGAAATGTGTTATTGATAAGTGTTTGGGGCACTGAGATGTTGGGGAGGATGAGAGCTCAGAATCTGGAATTGTCTTACAAGCCTTTTGCACACCAGCTGGCGATGCTATGGTTGGGCAGCTTTATTCTTATCTGACACAGGACTCTCAGGAACAGTAAACTTTTCAGAAGTGGCATACTGAGACACTCATGGGGCTAAAGAGAGAAGCCAGAGCTTCTGAATCCTAGACTAATGTAAGATCCGCTCTCTATAATTACAGAGTCACAATTGTGAAGAGGATGGTGACGTCCAAGGACGACCACAGGGCCTCTCAACACTGGTGAGAACCAGATTCCTTCCCCTGCTTCTGTAGCTCCCAGCAGAGCTCTGGAAGCTGATTAAAGAGAAGGTCAGCAATAACAGGTAATTAGAAACCTCATAAAAAGGAAAAACATTCTCATCAAACTTACCAAAGCGTATTCATGCCTAGAAGTGGGGGAGGCGTTGGAAACTGCTGGCTGCAAGAATCACTGGTGCCTGCAGTGTCCTGGAGCTGGTGCAAATGCAGAGAGGGACTGAGGCTGGTCCCCAGGGGCGGAGAGGGAGGGGGGGCTGTTTAGGAATTTATTTCCGAGTTGGAGCAGCCACTGAGTAAAAAGCTAAGAAAGGCCATTTACAAGCCCCAAGAAAACCTCAGCTGGTGAAGCCAGTAGCACAAGGACCAGAGGAGAGTGAAGGGTAGAAAGAGAGGAAGACGTGCACACACACAGAGAATGGACAGAACCCACCAGCACGAGAGGCAGAGTGGAGCAGGTTTCTCCTCTGGCCAGGTCCTTGACTGTTCAGAATACACCAGCAACTAGCTGCTTTCAGGTCCTTCACCTCCTGGGGTGTCCTAGTGACCATCCCCAGCTTGGGAGGGGCTGGGGAAGTCATCTGAATGGCCATGTGTAGGCTGAATGTAGGTACACGCCCCAAGTGACCTGCTTGGACTCCATTAGCAGTCAAGCAGTCCCCTCACCTTTGGGGGGGGGTCTCCTAGCCCAGGGCATTCTCACAACTTCTCTCCATCTAAGGCTTAAGTATAACCCCCCTCATAAGCCCCCACCTTACTTCCCACAGGGCCTCCCATTTTAATGTTCAAGGGTTGCTTTGGAAACCCCCCTAAAGAGATCCAGACCATTTCTTTCTGCATTCCTGCTCTAATTCTAATGCTCCCAGAGGTCGGGGTCGGGGGGAGAGGAGGGGCAGGGAGCGGAGGTGGGTGGGAAGGGAACCTCAACATTGAAGTGGTCAGCCAAGAGATTCATCCTGCTTTTGCTTGTCGCTTTTTGGGTGTGTTTCATTTGCTGATTCCTTTTCCAATCTTGTTTACCCTCTTCTCTCCATTGCTTTTTACTTCTCTACTCTGTAAACCTGACTAACCATCTCCTGAGCACCAAGATTGTCCCAGGTGAAAAAGGACTCTGCATGAAGACTGAGACACAGTCCTCTCTGTCAGGAGGTCACAGTCTGGTTGGTAACGGACAATTTCAAAACAGAGGGAGTATTTGTGTCCAGTGGGGGCAAGCAGGGGGGGTTGGCAGTCCAGGGATGGGGAGGTGGTGAGCAGAATGAAGGGAGTGAACTGGAGGCCAGGGAGACCTCCCTAAGGAGGAGGGGGGAGTGGTGCTGGTTCCTGATCGGGTTGCCAGAGAAAATACAGGATGCTTGTATTTAATGCAATATATTTCAGACATAATAACCAATTATTTGTTGCATATCCGAAATTCAAATTTAACTGAGTGTCCTGTATTTTCATTTGCTAAATATGGCAACCCAAGTTGCTGATGAATAAACAGGAGTTAGCTGAGTGAATACCTGCAAGGGAACAGCATGTGCAAAGACCTGGAGGTGAGGGGTCCCAGGATTCACTGAAGGAACTGAACGCTTTCCATATGGCTGGAATGTGGAGTTCAAGGGAGAAGGGAGGCAGAGCATAGAAGGTGTCAAACTGTCACGTAGCTCTTGAGTAAGTGCTAAGTGCCAGGCACCATGTGGAGTTCTAGGTTGCTGTTATGAGCCAGACAGGCACAGCCTGTGCTCTCAGAGAGCTCACAGTCCAGCTGAGAAGCAGGGCGGTGGGGAGAAAGGAAGGTCAGGCATCATGGAAGTTATAGCTGAGGGACATTAGCCTGGCTGGGAGTCAGGGAAGGCCTCCCCAAGGAGGTGACAACATGCTGCAAGATGAGACAGACATGCCAAGGGTGGGGGGAAGAGTGTTCTAGGCAAATGGAACAGCAGGCCCTGAAGTGAAAAAAAATGGGAATTGGTCCCAGAAACTGAAATGTGGCCAGAGAGGCTGGGGCCCAGAGAGAGGGAAGAGGGGCAGGGGAGAAGGCTGGGCAAGTGGGCAGGGACCAAACCACACCAGAGGGAGTTTGTACTGGATCCTGAAGGCCATTGAGGTGACCCCCCCAGCTTGGTGTTCTTAAAGGTGCCTCGTGCTGGAGAGAGGAAGATGGATGGGTAGCACGGGGCAGAGAGAATGAGGGCGACCAGTGAGGAGGCAACTGCAGGTGCCTGGGACAGACAGACTGGTGGCTTGGGCCAGTGCAGTGGTGGTGGAGATGAAGAGGAAGGAGCGATGGATCCAGGCTGCACTGAGGGGGAAGACTTGGCAGGGCTGGGTTCTCTGGCTCTGGGAAGTGAGGGGGAGGGAGGAGCAGGCGTGACTCAAAGCTTCTGGTTTGGGCAGATGGGAGGATGGCAGCGCCATTTGCTGAGCTGAGCTGGGGGCTTGGGAGGTTTGGGGGTGGTGAGGAGAGAGAGTCCGGGATTGCACGTGTTGAGGGTGAGGAGGCTCATGGTGGACCATGCAACGATGGAAGGAGAAAACCGAGACAGCCAGGCAGAACTGTGCTCCGATCCCCCCTCCCGCACTTAGCTGTGTGGCCTTGGTCAATGACGTCACCTCTCCTTGCCTTGAAGTTGTGAGGGCCTGGTGGCAGTCCCCAAGATAACCCCTAATGATGCCGCCTCCTGGTATTCACGTCCTTGTGTGGTGCCCTTCCACACTGTAGTAGGGATGGTCTGTGAGGACAAAATATTATGTGTATGTCACTTTTGAGGCTGGGAGATAAAAGACATTGTGGCTTCTGGCTTGTTCTCTCTAAGATCATTTGTTCTGGGGGACGTGAGTTGCCATGTTGTCAGGAGAGACTCATGTGGCAAGGAACTAGTGCCTTAGGCTGAAACCCACGCAAGCGAGCTTTGAAGCAAATTCTCTACGCTTCAGAGACCCTGAGATGCTTCCAAATTCTTGACCCACAGAAACTGAGATAACAAATGTGTGTTGTTCTAAGCCCCCATGTTTTGGGATAATTTGTTATGTGGCAATAGAAAACTGCCTAAGAGCACTTAGCACAGTGCCCGGCACACAGCTGGGGTGATAGAATCTGCAGGATCTGAAGTTCTGGTGTTTAGGAGAGAGGTAGGTCTGAGCTGGAGGTATAGGTTTGGGAACCTTTGGCTCAGAGACCATAATGGAATCCACGAAGGTGGCTGAGCCAGTCCTTGGAGAGGAGCAGAAAGAGAGGAGAGGATGGCATTGGACAGAAACCTGGGCATGAAGGTTGGGTAAAGCAAAATGAGCATCTCCACGAGTGTGAGAGGAACAACTGCAGAGGAAGGAGGAAAACTAGAAGAACGTGGCACCCAGGAAGCAGAGGAAAGAGGCTGTGTCTAGGAGGCATGGAGGTCTGAGGAAGTGCTTTTGGATTCAGCAACAGGAGGGTCCTGGGGAACCCAGCAAGAGCCTATTAGGTGGAGAGGTGAGCCCTGAGGCCAGACTGAATGCTCTGGTTTGGGGTAAGGGGAGGTGAGGGCCATAGCAAAAGAAGAAAGGGAGAGGGACTCTGGGTCAAAAGAGGTGTGAAAATTGTTTAATATCAATAGAGCCCTGACGCTGTTTATCTACTGGGGTGCAGGGGGAGATCTGAGCCTAGAGAGGCTAAAAGGCTGAAGAAGGGGTTGGACCCAGATCTGGGGAGGAGGATGGGGGGTGTCACCTGGAGAGGAGGCAAAATCCCTCTGCCACCCTATGAGTGGACAGTGCAATGCAGGTAAATCCAAAAGTGGGCATAAGAGGGAGTCAGGGAGTTCCCACTGAAGAGGCAACAAGTGGAAAGAGAGGCCCTCCAGGAAGTGAGAGTGGTGGGAGGGGGGAGAGGGGGAGGGGAACTCAGCTCTCTAGGCTTAAGTTCCACCAATCAGTTTGTTAACTGTTGCTTCCCACTTCGCCCTCCCAGCCTTTGCTGGGCTTGTTCCTTGCTGTAATGTTGTAGCTGCCATAATAAACAGCCCTCTCCAGGCCAGCCTGGCCACAGGGCAGACAAGGGTCATCCGGGCCATCTCTTTACCACAGGAGCCTGGATACTAGGAGGCCACCTGGAAAAGAGAAGCCCAGGGGTCAGGCACAGGTGCAAACCAGAAGCTGGTCTTTCCCCACAGGCTTGCAATCCTATGCAATATGGAGTAAAATTGCTTCCAATGTAAACCCTTTCCACCCCTAATCCCCCAAACCAAGAGATCCAGAGGGTTTACAGGAGAATCCTATAGAACTTTCAAACTTCAGAAAATCCCAACCTAGTGAATAGACACTCATTCCTTGATTTATTTTATGTGGCTCATGTAACTTTGATAGCAAAACCAGACAAGAGAGAACAAGAAAGGAGAATAGTAGGCATATCTGTCATAAATATGGATGCAAAAACCCTAAGTAAAATATTAGCAGAATATTGAAAAAGTAGGGGCCGGCCCAGTAGCGCACTGCTACAGTGCGCCGCTTGGGAGCGCGGTGGCGCTCCTGCTGAGGGTTCGGATCCCACATACAGACCGGTTCCCGCTCACTGGCTGAGCGAGGTGTGGGAGCAACACCGAGGGTTGCAATCCCGTTGCTGGTCCCGGTCCCGTTCGGGCACGTCAACGAGG